ACAGGACTTCCACACACACACACACACACACACACACACACACACGCACACACGCAGACACAGACGGACGGACGGACAGAAGACAAACAGGCAGGCGGCCAAGAGACGGACGGACGGACAAACGTTGACATTGACACTTCTGATCACTCTCTCAAATTCACTCCAATGGATGATGAGGCTGAGCACGGCTAAATACCTGAAAGCTCTCATCGTGCAGCCTGTTGCCGTGCAGATTCCTTGATAGAAGTCCCCGATCTGCGCCCCCAAACCCTAGATGATGCAATGCTTGCACGACAGAATACCGAAGGGAGCTGAAGGGAGCTGTAGAGGCAACGACCGGCAGGGGAAGGAAGGCTTGGGGATAAGGACTCTCTAGACTAGCAGACTACGTGCCAGGCTGGATGTGGCAACGGGTTCCGCCGGAAGACGCGGTCGAGAGGGAACCCCCTGACAGGGACTCATGGACGTACCAAAAGGCGAGCAGCTGACCTGTTCTCTTGCCAGCCTCGACGTTTGCATAGCCTCCTGCGAACAGATGGCACATCCACTCTCACCCAGAACTCCTCTTCGGGGCTCCATCCGGCTCCTGTGCTGTAGATGTCGTTCAGGCATCCGTTCAGGCGGCCGACATCTGACCAGTCCTTTCTGCGAGCTTCCCAAGGAGGCCTGCAAGCTTGCGACGACAATGAAGCCGCTGCGCAGAGTCTGCTTGCATAGCACACTTCGTCGCTGCCTCTGAGCTGAGACACCCGATCGAGGGGTCACAGGCAAGCTCCTGCAAGTGGCGAGCGCAATGCAAAGCCCTCAGTGCTGTACTGCAAAGCCACCTCATAAGAAGCCATCTCTCAGTCTCCTTAAGCTCATCCTAAACCGTCAATGCCCTAACTCCAATAACCTCCGATGCTCTTGGTGGCTGCCCACCCTGCCTCGGCCTTCTGGAACACGGCGAGGGGGTACGGGAGGACCTGCAGAGGAGCTCAAGTCCCAAAGAGCTTGCGATGGGCTGTCAAGGCTGTTTGAGTCTTCGCGGACCAGACAAAAAACAGCATGACTAGCTCTCCCTTCTCCTGCTGAGCGTCTGTTGCTGCACACGCTGCCTACGCTGCCCTGAAAAGTTGGACCACCTGGCCTCCCGACAAGTCCGGCATAGGAGCTTCTTGGTGATGGCCTGCCAGCAAATCCCGAATCTCGCCGTTGCTGCCCGTACCAGTCAATTACTAGTTCATCCTTCCACATCGTGGCACCCTACGTAAGCATTCACGTCCTCGTGCCGTGCATTGTTGGCGTCACAGCCATGGCCCTGCGGCCTCAGGGAATCTCGGGAGTCCCGCAGGGTCTGCTCCAGCTTCAGGGTGTTATCCTGCGTCGGGTGAATCCCGGCCCCTCTTCGCGGGCCCCCAAAGCAGGATCTACCGCATTCTCACGCCGAACGGAAGGCTCTGATTTTCCGGGCAGGGCTGGAGTTGGTCGTGTCAGAACCTCCTGCGACGTTGTCGCTGGGATCCTCATCGGACGTGGGCGCAGAAGCCCGAGCCTCTGCGAACCAAGGCCCCCAGCACCGGGCCGTAGCTGCCTCGACCAAGGGCATCCCTCTACTCTTTCGGCTCTCTTTCGGCTTACAGGTTTGGTCGTCCTGCAGAAGCCCCAAACGCACACCTCCTGGTGGACTTTTTGGCTGTACGGCTTGCATCTTGGATATGGCAAAAAGAACATTGGTGAGTCAGGAAGGACACAGGAAACAGTGTGAACACAAGATCCTGCAATCCTGCAAAGGGTTGATACACCTGGCAACTTCAGACTATCTTCCTGCATCCGTCCAAAGTCAAGACGGGCAATGGTCCGAATTCTTGCAAGGCATGCTTGCGCTGCAGTGCTCCAGAGTTAGAAGCTCGCAGCGCCTTCTCTGACCTAACGTTAGCATCCCCCGACTTTTCAGCCGCACACGAACCAAATCTCTCAGACAGCATCCGCACGCCAACCACGGCAGGATCACTGTCTCAGCCAGAGACGGAGCAGACGATAGAGTCCACTAGACTCTTGTCGGAGCTCCTTCAGTAGCACTCCAAGGGTGCCCAGTTCAGCTTGCGATCATGGCCCTGATGCAGCGCTTTGCCGTTGTGCTTCACGATTTTGGGACCTCCGACCTGATTTTCTGGGCGCATGCCCTCGATGAGCCGGTCCAAGGCCTTGCGGTGATCCTCGTTTCTTCGCATCTCCGTCACCTGTGCCAGTGCTTGTCGATGTTCGGAGTCCACCTCCATCCTCTCCATGAAGTTCATGGTGCTCCGCTTGCGCCGGGCCTCCCATCAGAAAAAAAACCGCCCGCAGCTCTCGGCTGCGTCTCTCCTCTTTACTCTCTTCTCTTCCTGTGCCTCCAGGAGCTGCTTCTTCTCCCAGAGCGCCGAGAAGGTGCTGGCGCTGCCCGTCTTCGGCGCACTGGCCACCTCGGCGCCGCGCACCAGATGAAGCGGCTGCAAACCAGCTACGGTTACAGTAGACAGTTCCGCAGGAGTCAGGGCCCCACGGCCGAAGGATCTTCTATGCTTCGACTTCTTACAGCTTGGATGCTCCGACTTCGACTCGAAGCACCACCTGCAGGTTTGCTTCGCTGCCTGCTGAGCTCGGAACGTAAGCGCTGAGGTTGGCTTGCCGAACGGGATCCATGGCAGCCTGCACATCGAGACCACGAGGGGCCACCCGACACTCAGACTGTGCATGGGAAAGAGAATGCACATCAGCAAACGATTCTTGCTTCCTCCTTGCAGGCAACTGGTGGTCAATTAGCATAGCCGCGCCTGGTTCGACGAGAAATGTCAGAGGCAATGAAACAAGACAGCTGGAGCCAAATTTGCAACGGATGTAAAGGTGCAGCTACGAGTGCGAGGCAATGCACAGCTGGATGCCTGTTTCGCTTGAAGTGTCGCTCCAGCTTGTTCCAACGTCTATCCGCCGTGCAAAGTTCGCCACATACCTGAGCAGCTGCACAGGACATCGACACGTATGCTTTCCCTGTCTGTCTCTGCAGTTGCCTCCAAGATGCCAAGGCTCGTCGCTGAAGACCTGCAGACATGGCGAAGCCTCCATCGCCACGCGAGTGAGGTGCCTCCAATGATCAGCTGCACAGGTTGCACGAAGCAGCAACACGTCGACGGCAAACTGCTGCCCATGAACTCGCCTTCCCTGCTCGTCCCTGTAACGTGAATCGAGGCGTGGAACATCATGTACGGCGGCCACACGCAGCCCAGGAAAACGTCTCATCGCATCCTCACGCAGAAATGCTCGGACGAGTCGACATGACCAAGCCATAGCTGCCATAGCCGCTCCTCTGCAAGACGGACGGCTACCCTGCCCTTGGGCCCATCCAAGAGCAAGGCCGTGGCATTGCCCGCGGCTGCCAAAGCCTCGACTCAGAGCTCAGAAGACTTCGGTACGGTCTCATGACCTGCACAAGAGCGGCCGAGTCCAGCATGTTGAAGGTGTCGCCTTCCTTCCTCAGTTTGTACTGATGTTGCATGATTCAATGATGCCACATGCCGCAAAACATCTTAAAACGCCTGTGAGGCTCAGTGTGAGAACGCCTCCACACAGGCTCTGCAGCTCCGCCGCGACGGCAGGCGACACGGAGCGCTCCAGGGCCAGAACTCGCCTCGTCGAGTGCGGCGTTCAAAGTGACGCTACGTGGCCGGCAAGAAATGAGGCGTTGGAGCTGCCTCCCGGGAACGGCGCGAGCCCAAGCGCAGGCTGCCCTTGTAGAGCCGCCCTGGCTAACCCCGGATTCCACGATGACCTGCACTCCTCGAGCAGCAAAACATAGCAAAACGCACCCAAAAGCCATCTTCCGACCGTTAGAGCCCCCCTCCCTTCAACCGCTGAATCAAAAGCTAAAAGGGAGAAGGACAGGGCAGCAGGGGCCAGGGTCCTTCCAAGTCGGCCAGTGTGTGAAAGAGCAGGGCCTCTGATGGCAGGACGGAGCCCGGCAGCGTGGCCAGAACGCTGGGCTCAGGATCCCAATGAGCGGCTCCAAGCCGGCTCCACAACTTTGTGAGAAATTCCTGCCCTACCTCAGCCGAAAGGTCATCAAAAAAACAGCGTCATCGCGCAAAATCTGGCCACTGCATCATTACATCAAAGGCTCCCAGGGTGGCAGCCCTTGTAGAACTTGCCCTTGTGGCTCCACTGCAAAGAGCCCCATTTCCACCAAGGAGAGTGACTCGCAGACCGGCCAGGGTGTGGTCAGAAGGTTGCGAGTGCGTGCCGTCACAGCTTTCCTTCCTCGAGAGCGCAAAGTGGAATTCAACACCGGTCACTTCCCTGCCCCTCTCGATTTGCCACACAGGGTCTCCCGGAGCGCATGTGAAGCTGCAGAGCCGCCTCCGCAACTTTCACGTACCCACGCCGCAAGCGCGGCACCTTCCAGGCTCTCGGGTGGGCACCCGAAGCTGATGCCAGCGTGGGGTCGAATCAAAAGGGCACCTCACAGGCCGCGGCCCTGGCGGCAGCAACGGCCGCCATCTGAAGCCCATCAGCCAATCCTCAAAGGCACCAAAACATACTGCTCAAAGCCAGGGCTACTTTTACGCATGGATGCATCCGTGATCATCCGGGCCTGAAACTGGGCGAGGCCGGAGTCGAGGACGGGGCTTCCCTGGAGCTTTTCGTGACCAACGAGGAGGCGCATAGACGACGTCGCTTTCGGGCGGCGGCGGCCCCACCTGAGAAACCGAGGCAAGTTCTGCAGCCTTCAGCGCTATGCGGCTCTGCTCCACTGCGCAGCTGGCCTGGGGAACCGTTCCCCAAGCTGCTCGCACGTGCCGAACCCAGGAGGCGTGCTGAGGAGCGCCCTCCCCGGTGCTTACCTTGGCGAACTCTACCAAAGGCTCTTGTGAGAAGAGACGAAGACTGCTGTGGGCGAAGGCACTCCTCCTGCCTTCAGCAGTGCCAGCAGCGAGAAGAAAGGCCAGCCGGACTCGATGAGGTCGGCCATCCCACAAGTCTGCAGAAGCACATCGATCTCTGTGAGCACCGCCTCTTCGTGCACCTCAAGACCACAAAACAGAGGTTCTCATCACGTGGATCCAGAATATGTGCCTGCCTTCAGGGCTTGAAGTTGCTCCTCCCTGCCCATGCCGCAAAGAATGAAAAGCTGCCTCAAAGCAGCGGTGGGTGCCCTCTCCAGCTCCAGCAGGATACCGTTGACATCCGTTGACTGTCATGTGTCATAATGTGTCATGAATCATATGTCGTGCATGGAGAGTGTCAAGCTTACACAGCACCGAAGACAGACAGCTGAATGCGTGAAAAGCTGCAACGCAAGCTGGGCAAGCCGGCACGGAAGGGACCTTGCCGCCGGCACACTTCGACTCTTGCACAAACAGAAAAACAACACTCCCAACCACGTATGTTTATGTATTGTTCTTGGTGTTTATATACTTGAGGTACAGCCGGTATGATGTGGTCTGGATGACATCCTAGGTGTCCCGGAACAAGCCTGGAAACCCAACTGTCAAACTACCAACCGAGCAAAAACGGTCCTAAAGCCCTTCGTTGAGGAGTATTGTATTGGCTGAGTTCAAGGCAAGATCCCCAAAAACCAAGGCCTGCCCTGGGGGACCGATTTCACCGCCCATCAGAAGTTTAGGGTTGGGGATTGAGGGCTTAGGCTTCCGTGCGTCTCGGAATGGAGTTTGGAATTCCATGACGTTTGCAAGGCTGCATATCCTGAGTGAAGAAACGGCCGTGAAGAGCTCAGGCGGGAGCTCTGCCCTCATTGACAAAGCCCGCTCTGCGGCTGGCATTAGATCCTCCGCTTCAAAAGCCAATACGAGAGGGCAAGGCCACTGAAAGCTGCACCCATGGCGCACCTGTGGCCGGATCTCCAGCTCGGCGATGCCTGGCCAGAAGGTCCAGACGCGCAAGGCCCACTGGACCTTGGCAACTTGGGCAACTGAGGCAGGAAGGGCTCTCAGGGCAACAGCACAGAGCCCGGGTCCGAATACGGTTTCCCCTCTGCACAGCTGTACCTTCGGCAGGTCTGCCGCAACGGAGTGGCAGCTCCCTGGCATGCAAAAGGCGGGTGTGTGTCTGCGTGTGTGAACTGCGGCACATCATGACCGACGAGGTACCGATACCTAAAACCATGGCCTTGCTAGCCTTGGTGACGCATCTCCCACCACCCTGCGAAGCGCCTCTGCATGCTGCCACGGCAGCAGGAAGGAGCCACGGTAGAAGCATGGCTGGCCATTTGCTGGCACATGGTCAAACTTTGGCTGCCTGCCCCTCCCTGCTTCTACTTCAAGCAATGCCGGAAACCGGCCCCTTTTGAACTTTTGTTCATGGTTCCAGGCAGCCAGCTGTTCACACCGATTAGATATGCTTCCAATCTCCTTCGCAACATTCGAAGTCACAGGCTCATTCAAGCTTCGTTTAAGCTTTCCGCCCTGTTGTCATCACTTGAGATTGGACCATCGACGCAAAAGTATCGCAAAAGGTACCCCCCACAGAAATGATGCGTTCGAAAACGTCAAAGCCGCAGCACAAGAGACTCGGCATGGGATTTGGACAAGCGCACGCTGATGGTGGAGAAGCGGTTCCTTTCAGCTGGATTCTCAAAAAACTCATGCCGGCCAAGTGACATGGTGCCCTTCTACACTGGCAGACTTCACCTTTGCTGTCAAGCGGCGGGATTTTCAACGACTTGGAGATGTAGATGCCGCCACTGGCAGGTGCGGTGGCATTCCGGGGGCTTTGCAATGCACTGAAACGCAAACATGGTGCAGTTTTAGTTGACTCAGTCACTCAGTCTTTGAAATTTAGGAATCCTAGCCCTCACTTCCCTCACTTGACGCAGAGCAGATCCTGGGCATCTGGCTGTCTCCTCGAGGCGACGCTGCCATACTTGCTAAAGGTGGAGACAACCTCGGGAGCCGGTGCTTTTTTTGAACCCCCAGAAGTCCGAGAATGTCCGAGCCTCGCCGAAGGTGACAGAGCTCTTTCGCGGGAAGCCTTCTTTGTCTCGCGCCTTTGGCACACAGCAGGCTCCACATGCTGCACACAAGCCATGCGGAGAACTGCAGCACTGCCTGACAACATGCAGTAAGACTCCGGCAAGAATCTCTGCCGGTGACAGCGATGGAAGCGCAGGTCGTGGGGAAAGTGACATGCTCTGACCCACCGCGCTTGGAAGTGCGTCTGCGACAAACTGGTTCTTAACACAACTAACCCGTGCGCATGATGGCTGACGTAGACTTGAAGCTTCTTGGAAATCGATACTGTGAACATTGTGATAAGATCCCAGGCTCTTTCTAGATTGAGACCGTGAGACCCTCCTTGCACAGGACCGTGGCTACAGTACATACTTCCCTGTCCCTTGCACTCTTGAGGCATCGTCGACCTGAAGGCATTTTGACAAGAAGACAGAAGAATCGTGCTCGATGTGTAGGCTGCTCTTGCTTTTTGTCTCGTCGTGCGCCTTGCCGAATCTTCTTCTTCTCACCGGTCTGCACACGAAGATGTACAGTACCGAATGGATCCTCTGAAAGCTCAAGCTCGCTGCGATGTGCTGGATTTTGCAGCCCAGTTCGCAAGGCATCTGCAATTCCAATTTCATCTTGTGCTGGGATGACTAGTCGGGAGCATGATTCCAGCAGCACGGCAAAGAGGCAACGAAAGAAGAGAGAGAAGAACAGGTCTCGGCCGTCTCGATGTTGTGCTCCTGCTCGAGCTGTGAGAGCCTCGTCTGCGCTCCTGCCGCGGCTCTTCAGTATGCTCGTTATATATCTCGTCGAGGTACTTCGAAGAAGTCGGTTTTCCGTGGCCTCTGTGGCCGGCGCCTTCACGGATGGCGTCTTCACGGCTGGCGGCTTCAATCCCCTGGCGCATCTCGTCGCGGCTTGTGTCTTGCGACTCGGTTGTGTTCTGCTCCTCGACGAAGCCGACCGCGCAAACAAGCATGTTTTAGGGGCCGGGGTTTTGTCCATGTCAATTTGTGCCCTCGCGGTATGGGCCTCTTCCCACACAGCCCACAGTTGTATCTGCCGCCTACGTGCACCGAGGCGATCTTCGGTGACATCTGCCCCCAGGTCATCATTCAGTACAAGAGTCAGTCCAAATCGAGCCCGACGGCCTTCAGTTGACTGATGGCTCATCTGCAGAGAAGCTCTCTGCGTGCTGAACCTAAACACAGACTGTAGAGATGGAGCCTCGCGGTACTTGCCCTGCAGCCGAAGGCGCAGACACCGGGCGAAGGTGCTTAGCGATACCTTCCTGCATGCACTGCAGCTCAGCAGCGGCCAATGGACCGAATCTTGACGGTAAGCGTCGCACTGCGACTGGCTCTGCCGCTGCTATCCGTAACTTCCTTGAAAGACCCTCAAGCAAGCAAGTTTCGAAGAGCTTCTTCTCGATGTCCTTCTGAGGCTTTCTTGCTTCCTTCGGCTCCGCGATGTTGAACTCCAGAGTTCGGAGGCGGATATCTTGCTTTGGCAACCTTGCCAATGCCAGGGATATTCCTGCTTGCCAGAGAGCGGCTCGCATGGCCCGGCCAGTTGGGCATGCAGTCGACATGTTGAAAGGGCTGAGATCCGGGCCAACCATTTGCCGAAAAGCGCACTGTGTGTACGGGCTGCCTGCCGCCGCCTTCAGCTCTCGCTGCTTGCAGGCCTGGTTCAATTCAACGCCTTCAACGTGGAGGCCGGCCTCCCCTATGCTTGAAGCATCTCGTGATGCCGCAGAGACATCGATACCGAAGGACGACGCCGTCCATGTCGTAAGATCTTGTTGTACACATTGTACACGCCACGAATCTTCGCCAGTTTCCTGTCGTTTTCCGCGATGGCATATTCGCTCAAGATCACACAAGGCAATACCCAGCCTGCCAGCCACGACTGGATGCATCGCGCGTTCAGCAATTTGTTACCACGCCGCAAATTGCCGGCACCTCGTCCACTCGCATACGATTGAACTACTGTATGCAAAGGCTGCGATGCCGACACGTTCGCACAGGTCCATGTCCTCAAAACCTGAACCAAGCATGTCGGGTGTGCGGGAACTCGAGATTCGGATACATGGCTCATACGACACCAGAGGTAAACGTCGTTCGCACCAATAGTTGCGGAACTTGTTCAAGACGCGTAGCCGTCGGCTGTTGAAAGTGGGTGCATTGCCCGCACGTGTCCCCAGATTGGCCACGACGTTGTCACTGAGGTCAGCGCTCCGGGCGTCTATGCACTGAAGGCCAAAGCGATGTGAAGTGAGCGTGGTAAAGATCGCATGGTAGCAACCGGTTGTTTGACGAATATCGGCGAAAAGAATGCCTCACGTTCAACTCGTCTTGCCGGCATGCTCGGCCTCCTCGCCAGAGGCTTGGATCCGAGGGATCTCCTCTGCAACGACGGCACTTTGGTCGAACTGTTACAGCGCTGCTCGTCCGGGCCTGTCAGCAGTCCAACCTCTTCTTGCACCTCGCGCACTAGTCGAGGCAAATCAGATCCTGCACACTGGAGAGCTCCAAGCTTTCGTCTGATTGCCTTTACGATGCATAACACTCTTCGGCTCCTCCCCAGCGGCCAAGGGAGTAGGAGCCGCCTGCCTGAGGACGCGGTTGTTCTGAACATGTGTGACAAGAGCTCGCATAAACGCTGTGGCTCATGGCTGACTTCCCCAAAACCGATGTCTTTGCCACACGACTTGCCCGCCTGCTTGGCACGTCGATGTCCGGAGCCGCTTCGACCGTAAGAGGACGGTAGTCCTTCACATAGCACAGACAGCATGCGACGAGACTTCTCTGCTGCGCCGAGCATGGTTGCTTTCACTGTATCATGGCATCCTTCCAGGTGCCATCGAGGTTGATGGAGGCACTCGGCATCTTGCCCGTGCTCGACGTGGAGGCTCCACGCCGCATTCCACCTCCTCACATGGATCTACAGAGAGAGGACCATGCCTGTTTAAGCCTTGCTTCCAACTTGCTAAAGTTCTGCATTCTACAGTAGGATTTGCAGCCGTGGCACGTCGGACAAAGAAGCCCGTGTGTCGGTTCCTGCTGGGTGAGTTGTGATGGAATGGCACACGAAAGAGCATGACACTTCTGCACTCAGGCTTCTGTAACGGTCCTAATCCCTTGAGTCCCCTCGGCTGCATCGTTGCCCTGTTGGGATGTATCTTGCCAGTTCGTACTGCAGGATTGCCAGAATTCTGTCCTCCTCTCCTCCTTGACGGCCTCTTCGGGATCCGTTCCTCAACGACACGGCTTGCAAGGCTTGGGGTTCAGGGCTTGAGAGCCCCACGATGCCCTCGTTACTCACCCGTTGCATGCAGGGCTCTCTGCAGCAGAGCACGGCGATTCGCAGCAGCTTTGTCCAAGATCTCTGGCACATCCTCGTTGAGTGCTTGCCCACAAAATTCAGGGCTAGCTTTTGCATGTGATATTTTTGTGGGACCTTCCATGCTCGGAATCTCATGGCATGGTGCCTGCTGCCCAACGAACTCCTGAACAAAGGTTCGCCATCATACTACGACTTCCAATCATAACCCACATGCTTCATGATAGTACACACCACAATCCTCAAGCAACTCTTAAGACGTCTCCGCACTGTCCTGGCCCAAAAGCCTGAGGAGGGTGCAGAGCTCCTGCGCCTGGCCACGACGATTTTCCCTCATTCACCAACTTTCGGCCTTTAAGGAGTTTAGGGTTAGCTGCGCACGAATCAAGCTCTTCCGAACTCCGAAGCTTCGAAGCCGCTAGCCGCTAGCCCAATCACCCACGGCAGAATGAGCCTGCAGCAGATCCTCCTTCCAGCTGACTTGGAGGAAGTTTGTGCTCTCACTGTGACAGTGCAACAGAGGGACAGGTCCGCTCCACAGATTGGAAGCGCACTGTTCACCATGATTACACGAGGTGTTTTTGAGCTTTTCTGCGCTTGAGGTCAGAAGTTGCCAGGCCTAGAAACTACAACTGCCGAAGCTGCCAAATCCTTCTCAGCTGATGAAGCCAAACCAAACCAAAACGCTCTCTTGCAGAAAGCACTCTCTGGAGAAGAATTCAGACACATCCGAACATAAAGCCTTTTCCACAAAAAAATGTTTATGAACACATATTGATGACCACACCAAGCTAAACCCAACCAAACCAAGCAACACTTCTTCAAACTGGAACTCTCACCTATCTTGTCCAACGCACTGCCTGGCTCCGCAAACCCGCTCTGAAAGGAACTCGTCTGCTACAAGAACGGCATTGCAACACATAAGTACTCGGTCTGTCGCCCAACATGTCGTCGTCGTCGCCGGGGGTCGGGGTCGTCGGGGTCGGGGTCGTCGTCGTCGGGGTCGGGGTCGTCGGGGTCGGGATCGTCGTCGTCGGGGTCCTCGTCGCCGCCGTTATCGTCGTCATCGCTACTACTACTACTACTACT